TATCTCCACAGATAGAACAGCCATTCTACTCTGGGAAATCCTTTCCAGCCTCTGAGCACCCTCCCAGGGAGGAATTCCTTTCCAATATCCCATCTAGCTCTGCCCTCTGGCAGTGGGAAGACATTCCCTGTGTCCTGTCACATGGATATATCCAGGGGAACAGAATAGTTTCATAGTATGTTAAGGGGTTGAAATGGAGTTTAGAGATCATCAAGTCCCAGCCCCCTGCCCTGGGCAGGGTCACCTCCCACCAGAGCAGGTTGCTTAAGGCTTTATCCAACCTGGAATGAAACACTGCCAGGGTTGGGGCAGCCACAGCCTCCCTGGGCAACCTGTGCCAGTGTCTGTTGAGGTTTTGAAGAGCTCCTGGGCATCTTCAAACCCTGCTGTGTCCCACAAAATATCTCAGAGGAGATCATTTGAGAGACACTGTCAAAGGTGAGGGTGAAATTTGAGGTACACTAGGTGCTCCTCAGGCTTTGTCCATGCTCCCAACATGTTCCTTTCAACCCTGAAGCAGCTCTTTGGGAAAAGCTTTGCTGGGAGCTGTCACAGAAGCACCAAACCAGCACAAGAGGCTGTGCTGGACCCATTCCCTTGGAAGCAGAAGGCTCTAGAAGCACTGCCAGCCTGGCACAGCAGATGGGCTGGTGCTCTCCAAACCAGGAGATAAATCTGGACCATAAGCCTGATGAAAGAAATCTGAAGTTTTGGAATGTGTGTGGCTTTACCCACAACTCAGCTCCCCAGTGGGTTGGCTCTGCCTCTCCCAGCAGGAGTTTGCACCCAAACTGAAGCTCTGAGCAGCCTCTCAGCACTGGTTTTGTCCCCTTGCCCACACAGGCCACGGGATGGACAGTAGACCTGCCATGGCCATCTTTGAACTGCTGGATTATATAGTTAATGAGGTGAGTGTTGTTTTCCATAGGTTCTGCTGTGGTTCCTCAGTGATGTGTCCACTCTGCTGAGTCAGGGTGGGCTCAGTGTTTGCTGAGTCATGGAATCCCAGGGTGGTTTGGGTTGGAAAAGACCTGAAAGGTCATGGAGTTCCACCCCCTGCCATGGGCAGGGACACCTCCCACCAGCCCAGGGTGCTCCAAGCCCCATCCAACCTGGCCTGGAATACTCCCAGGGATGGAGAAGCCACAGCTTCTCTGGGAAATCCATTCCAGTGCCTCAGCACCTCCCAGGGAGGAATTCCTTCCCAATATCCAATCTAGCCCTTTAAAACCATTCCCCTTTTCCTTTTCCATTCCCCTTTTCCTATCAGACCTGTGAGAATGGATCTCACAAACAAGTGGGAAGAGCAGTTTCCCCTTGCAAGGGGAATGGGAGTTGACCCCAATTATCATTTCTGGGTTGTTTCATCAGCCACAGGCGTTGCCAGAGCTGGGAATTGTGAGGTTGGATTTAGAACTGTGATGCTTGGAATTTGATTCCCAAGCTTTGGCTGGGATTCAGGATGAGCTCCCCCAGCTGCACGATGAGCTGGGGCAGCAAGGAATGACAGGGACCTGTGTCCTGTTTGGAAAACCAGCCAGGAAGAGGAGGATGAGGATGGCACACTGAGCCTGCAGGTGACTCTGGGTTTTGGCACCCACAGTGATGCAGGAAACCTTTCTCCTTCCCTCCACAGCCACCTCCCAAGCTGCCAAGTGGAGTTTTCACACCAGATTTCCAGGAGTTTGTAAATAAATGGTAAGGATTTCATCCCCTGGCTGGTGGAGGAGGAGGTCTGTACGTGCTCCCTGACAGCTCTGCAGGCTGCAGCTCCACCCGAAACGTTCAGCAATGCTCTGCCTGGTCCCTCCCTCCCTCCCTCCCTCCCTCCCTGGCTGCAGCCTCATCCTGGGAGCTTCTGCCTTGGGAAGGCTTGGAATAAAAGCAGTTTATTTGTGGGGATGCTGAGCTGGATCTCAGCTCCCTTCTAAATCCAAGCCTGGCAAGGGGGATGGTGGAGCAGATTGCTGTGAGTCACCCCTGAGCCTTCCAGGCACATGCCAGTGGCTTCAGACCTTCTGTTGCTTCAGCCCTTGGGGTGGGAGGGACACCTCAAGGTGCTGCCACAGCTCCCAGGGAACCTCAGAGCTTGGATAGCACAAAATTCCTGCTAGGCTTTAAGGCCTTTTCCCCATTTTCAGGGCACAGTTCATCCCTACAGGCTGGAAGAGACACATCCTGCAGCTCTCTCCCTGGCAGGGATAGTGCTTCCCCCAGGCTCCTGGGGAAGGAGCCAGGAGGTTTGAGACACCTCAAGGTGCTGCCACAGCTCCCAGGGAACCTCAGAGCTTGGATAGCACAAAATTCCTGCTAGGCTTTAAGGCCTTTTCCCCATTTTCAGGGCACAGTTCATCCCTACAGGCTGGAAGAGACACATCCTGCAGCTCTCTCCCTGGCAGGGATAGTGCTTCCCCCAGGCTCCTGGGGAAGGAGCCAGGAGGTTTGAGTGGCTTTGGGTGAAGCTAGAGACCTCTCCAGCCTGGTAACCAGTTTTCCCACAAGGAATGTCTCATGTTGGTTTTGCTCTCTTGTTCTTCTCCTTTCAGCTTAATTAAAAATCCAGCAGAACGAGCAGATCTGAAGATGCTGATGGTAAGTGGGGAGAGAATTCTCTTCCTACACTGAGGTGGCACAAGCTCTGCCAACTCCTGCCACATCCCTCTTGCTCCAAAGGCTGGAAATTCCCGGGCTGAGCTTAGGATGAGCCAAATAGAGCTGTGGGGAGGGAGTGACTCACTCACCTTTGATTCAAAGGCAGTGATGGTATCTCGCCCAGGTTGGAACCACCTGCCTGTCCAGTGTCTGCTGAGGTGCTGGGAAAAACCTTGGCTCCCTGTGGAGTGATTTGGGAGGGAGTGGGATGTGAGTGAGGGCTGAATCCAGGCTGGAAATGTGTCCTCACAGCTCAGGAATCCAACAGTGTCCTGGGCTCATCCCCAAAGTGAGGGCAGCAGGTGAGGGGGAGATTCTGCTCCTCTGCTTTGCTCAGGTGAGATCCCACCTGGAATTCTGCATCCAGCTCTGGGGGTACTCAGCATCAGAAGGATGTGGAGCTGCTGGAAGGAGTCCAGAGGAGGCTCCTAAGGGCTGGAGCCAGGCTGGGATTGCTAGGAGTGTTCAGCCTGGAGAAGAGAAGCTCCAAGGAGACTTTAGAGCCCCTTCCAGTGCCTAAAGAGGGTCCAGGAGACCTGGAGAGGGACTTGGGACAAGGGATGGAGGGACAGGACACAGGGAATGGCTTAAAGCTGGAGGGTGGCAGGGATAGATGGATATTGGGAAGGAATTCCTCCCTGGGAGGATGCTGAGGCGCTGGAATGAATTTCCCAGAGAAGCTGTGGCTTCTCCATCCCTGGGAGTGTTCCAGGCCAGGTTGGAGAAGAGAAGCTCCAGGGAGACCTTAGAGCCTCTTCCAGTGCCTCAAGGGGCTCCAAGAGAGCAGGAGAGGGACTTGGAGAAAGGATGGGAGGACAGGACACAGGGAATGGCTTCACATGGTCAGAGAGCAGGGTTAGATGGGATATTGGGAAGAAATTCTCCCTAGGTGATGCTGAGGCACCAGCACAGGAGAACAAGGAGCAAATGTTTGCGCTGAGATCTTTCAGTGCAGCCTCAGCTGGATCTCCAGGATCCTCCTCCCTGTCCAGGGTGTATCCCAGAGCAGAGGGCTGGCTGGGGGAGCCAGGCAGGGGTGCTCCTAACCCCCCGTTTCCCTGTGCTTTCAGAGTCACACGTTCATCAAGCGCTCGGAGGTGGAGGAGGTGGATTTCGCCGGTTGGCTGTGCCGAACGCTGCGGCTCAACCAGCCCAGCACACCCACCCGTTCTGCCATGTGAGGCCCAGCCTGGGGTCACTGGTGTCACTGGTCTCACTCCATCTGCCTCTGCCACCATTTCCTCTCCTCCCTCCACCACACAACTGCCCTTCCTTCTTCTCCTCCTCCTCCCCAGCCCTCCTGGCCCCACAGCCCAGCGCCAAAGCACCGACCCCTAACACCACCGACCTCCTTATCACCCAACCCACAGCCCAGTGTGGGGTTGGTTTCTGTGGATGGGGAGGGTGTTCCTGGCCTCTGCTCCAACTCTGGAGCTCCTGACACTTGGGAATTGTGGTGCTGCTTCTGTTAGTTTTTCTTTATTTGTTTTGTTTTGGGTTTATTTTTTTTGTGGGGGGAAACATGTTGACTTGGGTTAAAAAGATGATGCTAACTGTGTGTGCATGTTGGGGTGTGTGAGGTGCTGGCAGGGGATGGGGTTGAAGGGCTCTGCAACAGGTGCCTCACCCTTCTCCCTGTTTTTTCCCCTCCAGGGTGGAGGGGAATGGAATCAGGAATGGGAAAAACCCTGTCTGAGATGGTCCAGAACTGTCCCTGTCCTGCCTAGGGATGAGGTGTGGGCAGGAGGTCTTGGGGGGTGATGTAGGAGAGGAGTGTGACCTTGGGCTCCTCCAGCCCCTCTGGGTGGGGAGCAGAACAAGGATTTGTGTTTCCTTGGATTTCTTTTTACACACTTGTCTTAAAGCCTGGGCTTGGCCCGTGTTGGATGTTTAAGGAAAGGCTGGATCTGCTGAGGCTGAGGGAATCAGGTGGGAGCTGTGGGGTGGATGCATCCCATGGGATTGTGGCTCCAGTGTTGAGGTGAGGGGACAGCATGGACTTCCCTTCCTTGGCTCCTTCCATCCCAAGGTGGGAATCAAAGCCTGGTTGCTCACCAGACTAGCTGGGATTGGGATACTTTTCCTTCCCCACCATCCCTGGGAGGACATGGAAGGGTGAAACCCTCCAGGCTGCAGCTTTTCCCCCTCCATCTGCCTCTCACCCATCCCTCAGGTGGCCTCAGCCACTGTGGATGTGGCAGAGCTCCAGGATTATCCCATTATCCCAACTCCACAGGGTTTTCCAAAGGCCTCCTGGGCTGGATGGTGGCCAGAGGTCCCTCCCAGCATGGCCCTTGCTGACTTGCAGGACCACTGACCCCTCATGTCCCCCCACATGTATTTTGGGGTGACTCAGCCACTCCCAATCCTCCCTGAGGATTTGGGAATCTTGCTGGGAATTTTGGGGTGTGTTCTTCTTTTTGGGCTGTTTTTCCCTCACTCCCTGTGCCTGCACTCAGGTCCCACCCTGGCAGCACCCCAAGATTAAACACCAGGGCTTGGTGACCCCAGAACCCTCAGAGCTTGTCCTTTCCCTTTTCCCAGTGCAGGGTGAAGGTTCTTCCCTGCTCAGGGCCAAACTGGGGGAAAAATGTGTCCCCAAAGAGGGGGAAACACCCCAGTTTGGGGGGCAAACACCCTGGATTTGAGGGGGACACCCCAGTTTTGGGAGGACACATTAGATTTGAGGGGGAAACATCCCAGTTATGGGGGGAAACACCTCAGATTTGGGAGGAAACACCTCAGATTTGGGGAGTATGCCCAAATTTGTGAGGGGAAACACCCCAGTTTTGGGGGTACAGCTAGTTTTGGGGGGAAATACCTCAGATTTGGGTGGGTTGGCCCAAATTTGAGGGGAAACACCTCAGATTTGGGAGGGACACCCCAGTTTTGGGGGAGACACCTCAGATTTGGAGAGTACACCCAATTTTGGGGGGATACCCCAGATTTGGGGTGACACCCCATTTTAGGGGGATAACACCTCAGATTTGGAGAGTACACCAAATTTTGGGGGGAAACACCTCAGACTTGGGGGGGACACCCCAGTTTGGGAGGAAACAGCCCAGATTTTGAAGGAAATAGCCCAGATTTGGAGGAAAACACCCCATTTTGGGGGGACATAGCCCAGATTTGGGGGAAACACCCCATTTTGGGGGGACATCCCTCAGCTTTGGGGGTGTCTGTGCCTAGACAACTCCCCCCAGAGCCACATGCTGCTGGATCTGCTGG